TGTCTTTGCAAAAGTCTCAAGCCATCCCTCATTTCTTTATGTTTTTCTTCATAGAAGCCAGATTTTTCTAGCTTTTAAAGTTTTAACCCACTTAACAATGACCTATGAAATGATGGGTCAAGACTTTTGCACATTACTGTATGAATAGACAGTTTTATAATACCATAGCCTGCATTTCCCCAAGTGAAAACATTAAATATAGTCATACCGTTTTGAATTGAAATAATCTATATTTTGGTGCATACTTTATTGATTTTGCAGTTGTAGCTTGTTCATACTGACCCCAGCAAGCAAAACTGCAGGTCTGAAAGTGTGAAGAAAACATGGTCTTTGGATTTTATCACATTCTGCAGAAAACCTGATTTACCCTGTCCTCTATTATCAAATCTCACAATAACAGTGATCTCCAAGCATTTTATTTTATAAGTTCAAGACCCAGCAACAGGGAAAAATCACCTGTGGGCAAGCGCAAAGCAACAATGAGAAGGAGAAAAAGTCCTTCCTATAAAAAAATGAAATTGGGTGGTTGTTACATGTACAAGATTCAAACTTGTAATTTGAACTAAATAATTTCATGTTTCTATGGTGAACGTAATTAAAACATGTAGCATCTGCATGAAATTCAGCAACTTAATTTGTTATTCTTGAGATGACATGATACAATCTAGTAAGAGTGGTTAGTTGCCTGGACTCGAGAAATTCACAAGATCACATTAGATGTCAAACTACAGGAAAATCGCTGGAGTTTTAAGAGGCAGACAGCTACACCCACACCACGTGTATGCTATTGCTATTTATTGTGGTTTAACCTGTCAAGGACAAAAACGTACAGAAAATTCTGCATCAAGCCTTGTAATCATAGCTTTCCTACTTTTGTTAAGCCTGGTTTGACAGCTTGGTGGTGTGATGGTTAGTGCTGTTGCCTCACAGCCAGCAGGGCCTGCGTTCAAATCCACAATCTGGCTGGTTTGCAGTGTGTATTTAGAGTTAGGTTAACTGGTGATTATAAATTACCCATGAATGTAAGTGCAAATGGTTGTTTGTCTCTATGAAATCAACAACCCCATATTGGTTCATTAAGCAAGACTAGCAGTAATTGCCTTGATTAACAAAGTAGTTGTTCAAACAACAAGTTTTCATTGTATTTTCCTAAAGTTTTTCACTTGTGTAGAATGAATTAAAACAAATTTCACTTTACGTACTTCAATAAATCACTTCAAGTCAATGTAAGTATACTACGTTGATACGTAATCTGGTTACATTAAACCACCAAATGCCAAATGTGTTGGTTTGACATGGTCAAAAATGGGTTATTGTACTTGGTTAAATCACGTGGAAAAAGGTGCCATGATTAAATTGTGTTCATCCAACAACAGAGTGTAGGAAGAAGAAATGTTAGGACAGGCAGGCGTTCACTCTGAGTGGTTGGGGAATGAAGGTAATAAGATGAATGGGGAGTGAAAGACAGGGGAGTGAAGAAAGGGTCCTAATGGCATCATGTGAGGTCCTCTAGCTGCCAAAAAGAAAAAATAACGAAAGGTTGGCTTAGGGTTATGTGATCCAGCCCTAACTATATGATTGATCAAAAAGGAAAGTTTTAAGCTTAATCTTAAAAGTAGAGAGGGTGTCTGTCTCCTGACAGGAGAGGGGCCTAATAGCTGAAGTCTTAAACTCCCATCCTACTTTTGGAACCACGAGTAAGCCTGCAGTCTAAGAGTGAAGTACTTTATTGGGATAAAATGTTAGCGTGAGGTCTTTAAGACATGACAGAGAATAATTGTTCAGGGTCTCAGAATTCTAGATCTCGCAGAGAGCCGATGAAGACAAGCTAACTTCTCTTTGTCATCTCATAAGTGCTCTCGCTGCAACAGATAGCAGCCAAAACCACTCAGTGATGTCACAGAGAGCCGTTCTGCTTTGACAGCAGATGGAAGCCACCTGCGTGAAGACTCACGGGCTGTCTTTAACAGCATCAAGGTCACAGAGATAGCAAATCACGAAACACACAACTACTGACTCAACATGTTAACCATGGAGGCCCCTCATTGAATACTCGTGACAAAAGTGCAGACGTACAGTTTTTGTGAGTACATGAACTTTATTTAAATAGTGATTAGCCTTTACAAAAAACAAAAAAACGAGTACATCAATTACACACCTGATAAATATTTCACCATAATGTTCACATTAAAGTGTTCAGAGTGTTACTGTGTTGTTGTGTTTACACGTGTGCCTGAATCAACAGCATGACAGAGGCTTGCACTGAGAAAAACAGGCTGATGTGCCGCTGTCAGTGTTCCCCAACCATCGTGATAAAGCGAGGAGACATTTCTATATTTCATTGACTGAATATTAGGATTACACAACAAAATAAACAGCAAATTAGGCAAATGCTTGACAATAGAATAAATCTTTTCCTCTGTCGTCATAGCAGCACTTTGACTGGAAGATCACGATAGTCTTTGTCAGCAACCGACTGAAGAGTGAAAACCACATCCACACCTAAAATTGTTTTCCTCTTTTGGGCTTGATCTGTCCCTCATCCAACAGCTCTGTGGAGCCACATGCAAATCAAAATTCAAACTGGCGTGGGGCAGAAGGCACTTGAATTTACATAAAAACTCAGCGACCTTGCTCTTCGCAAAATGAAGTACTCGATGAACCCTGAGAGCAAGTCACCATTGGCCAGCACATTTGCCTGTGTGGTGGCAGTGAAGACCCTTCACATGGAAAAAATAATCAATGCGGGGCCTTTGCATATGATTTGTGTGCGAGCTGTGAAGGGAAATGCACAGCACCGAGTCTGGCAGACAGTAGTTTGAGCAGACTGCTCATGTGAACTGAAATCAGAGCTTTTGAGAAGCTGAGAACTACAAGGGTATGGTACGCTTAGCACACACACACATACACACACACACGTACAGTCACACTCAGGAACATGCACACATACTTTATACATACATTTACAAACAGTGGAAACAGCTGTCTGGAAAGTGAAAGTTCTATGGGTCTGTCTCAGCTTACACCAACATCAATAACAGAAAATTAAGAATGTGCATAAATCTGACAATAAGAAAACTCACGGGTTAAGATGGCAGGACCTAATGTCCTTCCTCATAAGGGCTTATTTATCAAAAATGCAACCTGCTTGGAACATCCTGTTTCACAAGCATACAAAGCTCGGCTGAGAATAGCACCAGCCACAAATAAGTTTAGTCCAAGTGCACTGGAGGACAAAAAAAAAGATAGACTTAGCTGACTAGGATGGAATTTTATAGGTTTCTTTTTCTTAGCTTGAGACAACCAGTTGAGATGAGGAAATTACTAGTCCCAGCGCAATAACAATCTGGCACATAACCTACCTCTGCTAAATTGCAAACCCTTGTTTTTGTACAAATTAAGCAATCAACAAACATAACTTGTTTAATTAGAAAGCGTTGGAGACACAGGTTTACTTCCTTTTTTTTTCTTTTTTCGATCCGCCAAGCTAACCAGCTGCTACCTCTAGCATCATATACAAAACAATGATCCGAGTCTATGCTACTAATCTTCTCATATAACTTTCATTGTCTCAGCCAAATAAATGTGCTGTGTTACTAAAATGCCAAACTTCATTAATGCTTGTCAGCTTCTCATAGCAAACCTTTTCATTTCTGAATCTATGTTGATCATAAAATTAGCTGCATGACTATAATGAAAAAAGTCGCTGTTAGCTTATTTTGAGCTACAAAAATGCCTAACAAGTACCAGTAGACTGAAGAAGTTACTTGGAAGTGATGAAACGTTTCTCCCACTGAAAACGCTACGTCCAGATGAACAGAATCAACCACTGTCACCTTTTAAGTGACAGTGGACACCTACAGCCAACTTAGTCACTGTGTCACAATGTGTATACATCCTTTAAGACACTTCCATGTTGTACATTATCTGCACTTACACTCTGCATTCATTTACACAGTGTAGAATTTGTGAAAATGTACAAGTTATCAGTCATTAGACCACAAAATAATAAATTTTTCAACACTGAAGATATTCTTCTACATTAAATGCAGATAAATTAGTGCGTGGCGGATATAAGAGTCTTAAGACTGATCTCCATACCAATATTTGGCCAACGTATAGGGTGATATTTTCTTTACATTCAGATTCTCCCATCTCTGCTTCACCTATTTAAATTTAAATGTATTTTTATGCCATAAATTTTGATTTTATCCGGTCATTAAGTGATGACGTGACGAATCCTACTTCCGGGCCTAAAGTAGTCTGCGTCTAATATGGCTTTTGTGTTTTTAACATGTTTAATGTTATGTATTTTCTTCTATTTAATCTCAAAAAGCTCCTAAAACAGTCAGTGATCACTGTTGACCTCCCTCGGCTTTTATTACCCCTAATCATTTATTTACGCTCAGTTTTTAAAACCTTAGGATGTAACTACAGCCCAGCCAATGCAGCAATATATGAATGACTAACCTTGTATTGTGGATGGATTATCCCAGTTGTTCTCCTGGCTGAAGTCCTTTTACAGCATCCTGCCATGCGATTACATTTGTTCCTGACCACCGAGAAGACTCACATTAACTTTTATCGAGTGGAAAAAAAGTTAGCTTGTTTATATTATGCTAACATAGCTATGTCGCTAGCGGTCACGTAGCACATCATTATATACCAGCTAGCCAAACTTCAGTAACCCTACAAACGTCACTGCTGTTTAGTTTTCTGTCTTCATTTATGTTGGAAGTGATAACAGAGCTGTACGTTTTAATTTGTTTCCAAAACCCCGCAGTCAGGACATGCTATATTGTATTTAGATCGAAGCTAGCAAGCTAACTTCCTGCTAACTTCTAACGCCGTTAAATGTCATAAATTCCGTTTTCATGGATGCCTGGATGTTAAACTGAATTGTTACACCTGGTAGAGCAGAACGCTGATCATTTTATTAAAGATGAAAGACTTTAGACAGTTTTTCAACTCTCAGTAATGCCATAGTGATCGTTTGATATATGGACCTGCAGCGGAGTTTAGGCCCAGACACGGCTAGTGACGTCAGACTTAACGACCGGATAGGCAAATAGCTCATATAAATTAGTACCTGAAAAAAAAGCAAAAAAATTACCTGTGTTAGCAACCTAACTAGCATTAGTTATTTGTATTTCCCCCTGTATGCTCACATTTTTAAGCATGATCAGACATTAACCATTGGGTACTTATAGAACCCTTAATTTAGCACTCAAAATAACAATGGAAGTTATGGAAGTACTTGATTTGTGACACAGTGAGTACTAGACGATATTCCCACTTAGCCACCTAGCATATTTATCATCACCATTGCAAATATATAGATATAAAAAAATATTGATATTTAGCCACATTTAAAATATGTCTTGTCTTTTTTTGGAATAAATTCTATAATAGTCGTAGCACACAACATACTGTCTCTATATGATCTATGGTTATGAAGAGATGAGGTGTTAGCTAACCTCAAAAATAGTACACAGTCAGTGGGAAGCCAGAATAGAGCTTTACATGTGCAGATTCACTTAAGCAAGCTTTTTGATTTGGCTCCCTTTACAAAATTACAAAAAAAATAATAAAAAAAAATAAAAAAATTAAAGATGATAGAATCCATCACACCTGAACATATACAGTATAAAACCATTTGTGCCATATTTTCCTGATTGTCAGTCATAAAGTGTGCTAGCTTGATTGGCAGGCTTTACGAAAAAAAAATAGGGCTCAATGAGTATAACCGGTTTGCCCTCATTCATTGCTGTTGTTGTCGAGATCTTTGCACTGCAGTTCTCCTCCAGCGTAGTTGATGCCAGGGATCTTGACGCCAAACCGGTCTACGCACCAGCAGATCCCCCTTTTGCGACCGCGAGATGGCTTGCACTGTGGGTAAAGAAAGCAAGACTGGAATAAAGAACTTGTTTTCCAATCATTTGTTGTGGCATTTTGACTTTGTTAGACTGTCAGATATCAAAGTAGCACTGCACTCTAACTTTTTGATACATTTGTACCTGTTTGCGCTTGAAGAAGCCCTTCTTGTCACAGTTGGGAACATACAGTGAGAGAGCAAAGACCTGAGACGTGTCCTTCATGGCCTGGATGAGATTATCTAGTTTTCTTCTGCAGGGGCCCTAGAGTCACACAGAACATAAATCTAAATGTCTGCTTGATTACAATGCATATACATGCAAAATATTTCAATTCTGGTTAAAAATTATCTGGAAAATTTAAGAAGCCACATGCAGTGGTATGCAATATCTGATTTTGTAGAGCCAAAGTTTGTTCATTCAGAGGGAAAAAAAACTAAAAATAAAAAATTGCTCAAAATCGTGCAAAAAACCAACAGTCAGTGTTTTTTGTTTTTTTTCTAATTTTATTTACCTTGGTATGCATCTTTGTAATCTCTACATCACTTACAAAATGAGGATCCAGTTTATCTATGCTGAGTGGAGCCAAGTTGCTGGCAGGCCCAAGCTTGGCCAGCTGCTTCTTACGGTCCTTGGCCTGCTTCATGGCCTGGGCCTTGCGACTGCTAATGTGATCTCCATATAAGGGCACCTTTGTTTGTGGTGGGACTGGGACACGTAGCATGTCATCATGAGGCTGTCCACCTATTTGGGAGGCAACAAGACACAAAAGAGGTAGATCGTTTTAGTCGGCCCATAGGTATTAGTTTTCTGGGGAAAAAAAGTGTTATTTACACCAAAATGCATTGCGGCTATGGCCCCATGTGTTCCTTTGGTATAAAACATTTGCTATTTTTGGAAAATTTCGAAAGCCTTAAAAACCTGTTGTTGCTGGATTTCAGAGTCTGTTGGAGCATTATTACTGCCAACAACATAACACTGAAGAATGTAATTTAGCACAATAAAACTAACAGTTTTTGCACTGAACCAAAAAGTGTATTGCACCATGCTTGGGCATGTACAGATGCGTGTTTCTCCAAGGGCTAATAAAGCAGAAATACTCAATCTTTTTCTGGCATGTCCTGCTTTAGGAGCTGAAAAAAGTTCTGAGTTTCCCAACTCACTTTTAGTATAGTAACTGGTAGAGTCCCACCAGTATACAGGATTTTAAGACAGGTAACAATATCAATATTTGGTGATGTAAATATCCTATATGTCGGCCAATATTTTTTTTCTTTCAGGTACAGAAAGCATGCACAATTTCCCTATAGAAATGCTAAGTGAGTCATTAATAAGATAATGACACAATGTAGTTTAAAAATAATCTTATCATGGCAAGTTGAGGATGACTGTTTTTAGACTTTGTTCTACTCAGATCAGCTGGTTGTGTGTTTCAAAAACACGTTATGCCAATCGGGAAGTTGCATAGTGCCCTCTGGTGGACACACTGCACAACATCAACACTCATAACATAGTTGAAGGGTATTTCTTCCATCTTTTCTTTACTTTCATCAATCTACTTTTATAAATACAGATATAGTTAGATTGGCAAAGAGTGAATATATATCACAAACATCAAACAATGTTCTTACACATGTAACATATCTGCCTGTGTCAGAAACCTAGCAAGCATTAATCATTTGTGTTTGCTCTTGATGTTCAAATTTTTCACCATGAGCAGACATTAATCATTTGGTTACTCATTGAACCCTTGAGTATGAACACATTTATGCACTCAAAATAAAAAGTCTTTTTATGATTTATTGGTATGAATAGATGAGGTGTTAGCTAACCTGAAAAACAGTACACAGTCAGTGGAAAGTGACTTATGAAGTGGTTGAATGGCAATTCTCGTGTTTCTTCTTTACATTTTAATTTTTAATTTTATCAGCTGTTATAAATGTCAGTAAGTGTAAAATAAATGCCAGCATGATGCTTTCAATAACAAAAAGTTTAACTAAATCTTTTTAATGCTGATCCTTTACACTAGGGCTGCACGATTTTGCATAAAATGAGAATCACGATTTTTTTGCTTAGAATTGAGATTACGATTCTCTCACGATTTTCTTTTCCAATATAAATATTTATTGCGCTTATTCGTATTCGCTAACTTCGTAACAGTTGAGACTGAACATAAAAACAATAAATAAACATAAAAACAACAAATGTCTCACAAAATGTTGTACTGCTTGAAATTCTGTCTCCACCGTTGCTCGACACTGCGTGTATAGAGCAGGTAGTGCAACAATAGAAAAATAGTTGCGGGACGGCACTGTGTAGCGTTTGTCTAGGGTGTTGATCATTTTCCTAAATCCCTCGTTTTGCACAGTGTTGATGGGAGCCATATCTTTGGTCAGGTGATAAGTAATAGCCTCCATAATGTCTGCCAATTTTAGCAGCCAGCTTCTGTATCACGTGGTATAAGGCTCCGCCCTTGTCATTTGTTGAGCAGGAAGAGTGAGCGCTTGTTTTCATGCAGATTACGTCCCGGATCAAAATGCGGTACAATCGTCGTCATCTTTTTTTTTTTTTTTTAAATCATTGTCATTTGGAAATGAGATCGCACATAAATATGAATTGAGATCGCGATTTTCTAACGATTAATCGTGCAGCCCTACTCTACACCCCACAGTTTGGGAACCAAACAAACAGATTTGCAGCCCAACAACTGTAAAGCATGTCTCTGTTAAACATGGCTTCCTTTACTGCAAAAATTTGAGTCACACAGGACTACTGTTCAACATTTCATCTGCAGTCAGTAATGGTGGGCCATTTCCACTGGATGCTTACACGTTAAAGATGAAAAACAAAACAAAAACAGCAGTAGTAATCATTCCAACAAGTCAACAGCTGTAATATTAGTCCTGTGTGAACATGGCTCGACATGATGGGTCAAAATTAAGAGCACCATGACTTCCAACCTGGATTTGCAACTTCTTGAACTGCCAAATTAAAAAGCTCAAGAGGGCACAAGGCAGCAGTTTCCAATTTGGAAATGTCACAACACAACGTGATGATTTCACTTGCCCCAGCTAAATGCTTATTTAGCACAGTTAGTGGCTACAAGCCAGATTCAGATTGGATGTGTTGACATACGGGACAACATAAGCTACATTTATGGCAAGTCAGGCTGCCAGTTTGGGGTATATGTAGACCAGGGGTTTTAAAACTTTTATAGCAAGTGACCTAAATGAGATATTTAGTCTCACCCTGGCACCCATGGCCATGAAAACATGCTATTACCCTTGTCATGTGGCAAGCCACCAAAAAACAGCCGCAACCCATTTTGGGTACCAACCCCCACAGAAAGCTTCATGTACAAGTATCTTTCATCTGTGCAAAAACACTGCTCTGTGCTAAATTTTGGGGAGTCGCACAAACCTCAGCACTCGCCCCTCTCCCTTGTCCCCACCCTCAGCCGCAGTGACTGCACTGAGGCCAGAGTGAGTGACTGTGGCTATTTCCCCCCCCAAACAGCACTATAAACTGATATTTCATCGGGTTTCTATCCTGAAACATGCATTAACTTTGCATGTGTCCTAAGCCCTCGTTGGCCCATTTCCACTGCTGTGTCACGCACTTGTTTCCGCTTTCGTTTTGGCAGATTGAAAACTCCACATATAAACCTCTGTAGTTCTGCCAGTGACATGGTCGCTAAGCTACTAAGCTAACTGCGTGGTGAACTGAGGTCACTGTGTAGTTGCAAATGATGCTTAAAACCTCGATGACTGACGATGATGAAGCTCATGATGATGATGTCATCCATCCATTCCCCTTAATGACAGGTTCTTGGAAAAAAGAGATTCCCCCTAGTTTCCTGCTGACAATGTTTTTTTTCTCTCTCTTTCCCCAGGGAAATCTGAGGCAGCTCAGCGCCAGTATGTCCAATCAAGTCTTCACTTGCTAATCCCCAAGCTTGTCTAATCTGACGTGTGCTGACTGATCACATCTTTCACTTTTTTCCCCTTTCTTCCTGCCTCTTTTCCTCTTCGTGATCCTGGAGAGCTATGCAGCTCCCTGCAGGAATTAATGACTTAAAAAAATATTTTCTTCATCTTCATCTATCTAATCTTTCCATGTATTCTCCCTTGCCACATCTGTCCAGATGTTACTGTTAGACATCCTTTCAAATGTAAAAACTAGATTCTACCTATTTTTAGCTGTTGTTACAACTTAAATGCCAGCTTATGTCACAGGTTTTCTGCTCTCTGACAAACAGCAAATATGGAAAATATGGTCAGACTGCACACACGAACACTTGTGCATTAATATAGCTGTACATGCCTATTATGAATGCATATATGTACGCATATCCACAGCCCAGGGTTGTCAGGTGTCTGCAAAGCGTTTTTACTCTATGGGGCATGTGCTCATGGGTGTGCATGTGGGTTTTTTTGTTTAATTTATGTGTCAACAGAACGCCCAGCAGGAGATGGGGAGTTCATGATGAAGCTGACTGCCGGACAGACAGACGGGGGATCAGAAACCCACGCTCAGCCTGCATTCTGCTGAATCACTGCACAGCCGGGGCCTGCCTGCAGCGCCGAGCCGGAGAGAGGGGGAGGGAGTGGAGGGAGAAGACTGTGTATAGACGTGAAGAAGAAGAGATCAGGACGGGACTAACAAAGACTGACGAGAGGGAGCAATTAAGTAAAGGTGAACGGATCAATCCAGATATCCATAGTATCGATACCAACGCTGGTATTGGTATTGGATTGATACTAGTGATAGGATCGATGCTTTGCTTCTATCCTCTATCTTCAGTATGTCTTTCACTGAATTGTATTAAATTAATTATTGACAAATGTCACATGTATTTTATTTATAGCTTATGACACATTTAAAATAACAGGCAGATTTAGATTAAAAAAAAAAACAGTATCAAGATACATAAAAAGCTGAAAGGTGTGTTTTATTGTGGGAAGTAAAAATCACAGCTCTCTCTCTCAATGCACTCTTCTACATAAGCTGCTATTACAAATTAAATGTATCGGTATTAGTATCAGCAATATTGGCCCAGTCTTTGCTTGGTATCGATCGTATATCATACGGCACAACAGCAAATAACACATTTCTGGCTGAGGATCAAAGCTGACCTTCAGTTCAAAAGTACGATTTTGATTCACGCTCTTTTCCCATTTTCCACCTCTTGTTACTGGACTTTATGCCAATATCACAGAGCAAGAAAATAGTTCAAGTTCTTTTTTTTTTTCCTTGCTCAGCCCGCTGGCGTTTAAAACAGAGTAGGAATATTTATGTTTCCATTGAAACTCTGCAGGAAAAACGGAGCAAGAGATAGAATGGAAACGGTGAATCGTGGAGATGGTGGGATAGTGAATGAGGTGGCGGAGAGAAGGAGAAGAAGAAGAATAGGTTGGAAAAGATGTAGAGGGACAGCAGCCAGGCAGGGAAAGAGGAGAAGAAGGCTGTGTGTTGGGACAAAAACAAAGGTGGGTCAAGTGTGTGAGAAAAGGCACAGGTGGTAGACGAACTGACAAAAGAAAGGAAGAAAGGTCTAAAAAAAAAAAAAAAAAAAAAAAGACAGGTAACCATAGAGGAAGGTATGTGGGCAAAACATGATTTCACACCTTGAAGACAGTGAGTGCAAGCTAAGGCAGCTCTGCTGGAGCCACAGAGGAGCCCCGCTGAGAACCACCTGTAATCTTCTCCCTTTTTATTTCGTCTGACTGGAAGAGGGAGGGGAGGAGAAACGGGACGCCGCTGATTTAAGACTTGCAGACCCACAAGGGCCCTATAGTTGATCACCACGGGACACACCAACTGCTCAAAGAGTTCACGGGGGTCAGCTCAAGTGCTGAGGAGACTCCCATCAACCCCTCAGAAGCAAACTGAGTAGAAACAAAGTTGCAGGAGAGCGGAAAGCGCAGTGAGATTATTCATCCTTCTCGCTCTCTGAAAGGGAGTTTGTGCATCTCTTGTGGGCTTCATCAAAATTCCTGCACTGACAAGGGAGGAGTAACATCTCTCTCCAGCTGTTTACTATTTCTTTGCACAGTCAGATCTTTGGGTGAAGCAGGAATTCGCGCGATGACACTATCAGAGCTGTCACGGAGAACATGGAAGTGTTACTGCTGCGTAACCCACATTTCCCATTTGTCCCTTTATCTTTAAACTAACACACACAGCACTAAGAGTAACCGCCTCTCCATGTTCCCTTCACAGGTAACCCTTCACAAGCCTACCTTTTGACGGATGCAGCAGTTTGTACAACTTCTCGTTCCTGCACACCCCGCGGCCGTGCAGGAGCGCGTGCAGCGGCTTCTCCTCTCCGTTCTTGGGCAGGCAGCGGAGCCCGCGCGTGCATGGCCCTGTGTACACACCGCACGGCTGGCCCTCTTCGAGCGCGCAAGTCATGCAGCACCCGCAGCCGGGCTCCTTCACCGGCTGACAGCCCACAGGCACCGGCGGGCACATGGACAGCACCTTCTGATCGCATGGCTCGCACGGCACGTAGGACGAGTCGCAGCCGGCGATGGTCAGCAGCGGAACCAGCAGGAGGGAGAGGCGCATAGGCATGGTGGGTGCGGGTCTGGAGTGAAACTGCGTGGATTGGAATGGAGTGGAGTGGTGACGAGTCGGTGGAGAGGAGTATCAGCTAAGCGTTGCGGAGAATCCTTTCTATGTCTCTGGTCTCAGTCCGAACATCAGGCGGGTGCGAGTCGCATCCACAGGTGCCTCTGCGCGCTCACTTGTGAGTGGCAGCGTATCCGATACTCGCGTGCTCTCTCACTCTGCCGTCCTCCTTAAAACCCCGCAGAGTTACCAAGAGTTGAAAAAAGAGCCAAACAAACAAATGAAATTATCCAGACACCACGTAAATCTCCCTTAAGTGATGCCCGGTTCCGTTTACGCGCAGGCTGCTCCTCTTCAAATAAAAAAAGGAAAAAAAGAAAGCCCGCTGATTCTCTCTCTCTCTCTCTGTGTGTGTGTCTCTCTCTCACTGTAGGTTACTTCGCCCGCGCAGATTGCGAGCAGAATGTATAATCTGCGGCTTTGAGCTTGCCTTTTAAAAAAGAAACTGCCAGAGGCGAAGCCTGTAACGACGGGCATGTCAAACAACGCGTGGAGGGGAGGAGGAAAGGGGGGGGGGGGGGGGGGGATCAGAGGGAGGCGCACTTGTCAAGTCCGTGCGCTGAGATGCTGATTTCACAGGGCGGGTGCTGGCATGTCTCCAGATCTGCCAGACACTAGACGATGCTCCCGTAGGCGATTGAATGAGACCTTATCTTTCTCACTGCACAGTTGCCATTTAGGTATGGTCAGTTTGAAAAAATGAATAAGTCCGTTTAAAATCTAAAGCAGAGGTGTTAAACATAAGGCCTGGGGGCCTGAAGCAGCCTGGCAAAGACTTGACAGGTTTAGTGGACCCATTTTGAACTTTTAACTCTATTTTCAGTCACGGTCAAGTGTGTGGAAAACAGAGAGATAAGATCCAAAAGCAGGACTCAGCAGGCCATCTTGGAATATGCACAGTTTTGTTGCTCGAGCTCCTTGGCATGAAGGCAAATGACTGAATAGACAGGGTGCGTGTACACACAGGAGGAGATGATGACGATGACATGACAGAGACAAACTGAGGGCTTAAATAGACAGGATAGTGGAAGGAGAGGAAACAGGCAGGAATAACTCTAACTAATAAAATGGAGGAAGTAAACTACACATAATGGATATGTGACAGAAGACTATCACAATAAAACAGGAAACATACACGGGAAAACTAAACACTGACAAAAAGTCCATACTCAAAACGTTGGGTCAACAACAGCTCTGACCCGACTGCCACCCACACTACATCAAAGCAAGACATTTTCTCTAATGAAAGCTTTCTGTTCTAAAATTTTAAAATTAGAGGACAGTCTGTGCAACGATCTACCAGAACCTTATGTGTAACCTTTTCTATAGGTTTATCGTGTAGTTTCACCAGTCTGGCCCGGTCCACATCCAAGTGGGCTGTGTGTGTCACGAATTTGACATCCCTGATCTAAAGGAATTTCTCTGTTTTAGCATTTTACACCTGCTTTGCTTTCATAAACTGGTGAATTTGGCCTTTGAAGGATCCCAAACACTCTTCTATTCTCAGAGAAAACTCAGACTCGTCCAAAAGTTGCATGTGAAACGGGAACACATTTATAATTCCCCTCAGATATCGAGTCGGCCTCTGTTTTTGTGGCCAAGGCACTGTAGCTTTAAATATTTGCGAGATGCCTGTCTTAACAATAACAGACGAATTCTCCAGCAATGTGTGCTGCAAAGTGTCCAGATCAAGGCGAGCTGCACTCACGGTGACCTTATTTTATGTCTCAGCGAGGTCAGTGTCCACAGTGAGATAAGTAGTCAGCTCTCGCGGAGTGCAGAACGGTCGTAATTCACTGGATGTTTTGGCAGATAGCAATATATGCCTGAGGATTTCAGATGATGAGCATGTTTGTGTTGTAAGTAAACAGATTATCTGCACACACCAAGATGAATTCATTTAATGCTTCTGACCCCGGTCATGTTCTTCCTCTTGTTCCTCTTCTTATTACTGCATGTACTTTCTGGATTATTTAGCTTTATTTTTCCTCTTTGTTAACATCCTGTTAGATCTTAGTGTTTAAACTGAGGTTATGTGTCCCATAGCTGTATTAATCCAGATGTTTTTAGCTGAAACTGCCCTTTGAAACACCTTTATTCTTCCTCTTTCCCCCTCCTCCCCTTACCCCTCTTTGTGAAACTTTGTCTGCAAATTCTGCTCAGGTCTCCAGACCCCCTGTTTGTCTTTTCCCTTGACCTTTATGCTGTATCGGGTGACGAATGGCGTCACCTGTGGCGAAAAGTCATCTTGGTGTTGCCCACACCGTCTACCTGTGCAGACATGGAAAGAAAGAGCACCATTCAGATTGTGAAGCTTTAAAGGCACGTCTGTGCTTCGCAGGTTCCAACTGCAAAGATCTTCCTCACAAAGCTCACTCTCAGACTCAGCTGCACATCTATGATTCATAAATTGATGATTTATGACCCAGAGACACATTGGCAGAGCTAATATGTCTGCACTACTTTTTCTTTTGTTTCCAGATGTGAGACGGAGAGGATTTGTGGTCCAAGTGCATCTAGGGTTTGTGAACCAGAGTGCAGTGTCTGTTAAGGTTAGTCTTTCTATATAAATTAGCTCTGAGTCAGCTGATGTATATTGGCCATGTGATGCACAGATGGTGACTTTAGCTGCTCTGCATAGAAGGGCAAGGTTTAGATTTCCAGTGCTGTTAATGTTTAGGCCAAATTGCTGTATGTGCTGAGGATTCAGTCCCAAATCTTTAGGAGCCTAAGTTCCGTTAGCTACATGCTTTGCTTGTGGGGGTTAATTGGCACAGATAAGCCATGCTTTAGTACTTACAACTTTAGTCTTAGTTCAGTTTGGTATGCTCGGTTCTGACTTAGTGAAATTTTTATCCACACCGGCACTCTTAGGGCAGGCACACACAGGAAGAGACTGGCAGGATTGTGGAAATCAGAAAACAGTGAAATTTAACAACTTGTGGCTGTAACAGGCAAAATAACTTCTGATCAGTAAGTTGGTGGGTGCAGAGTTACAGTAAACAGCTCTCAACTTTGAGGTAGGGTGATTTAGGAGCAAAGAATTCAAAAACATAAACAAAAAAGACACCATTTATCCACGTGGACTCAATGCTTGACCCACTAAACATACTGCACTGTTTAGTTGTGTATTGTGCAGTCCAATAGATTGTGGACAGCTATCCAAACAACAGAAAAGTCATGCTAGGGAAAAGCATGGCTGCAGACCACAGTGTGACCAAAATTAATTTTACTGTGTGCAACAATCTACCAATCTCTTTCCCTTTGAAATGGTCTCTTTGAATTCGAGGATCAGATCTGCAATCAATCAAGGTCAGCTGTCATTTTCAAAGCAACTTTGGTGCATCAAGACATCAATGAAAAAAGGAGGTAAAATAGAGTCAGCTTACTATCGGTCAATCATTTTACAATTGTATGGTATCAAGCTGGCAATTGCATTCAATCTGTTTGTGATATAACGGCATTTAACTGTGATAAATTTGAAAAAAATCACAAATCTATTCCTAATCTGTTGCCATTTACACAGAAATGCACATCACAAGCTTACATTCAGGGTCCAACTTAGACTCAGAGATAGTTAAGACATTAAAACAAGAGTAACCAAGTGTAAGACCATGAAAATAATGAGAGTATAACCAGTTTACTGGAGAGAGACATGTTGCAGAGTTGAGCTCAGCTGAACATGCTTCTGTATTGGCAGTATTTTGGTAGAACTTGTGGAGTTATGGAGCTTTGTCCGTTGACAGATGGAGGTAGTGCCCAAAGTAAATGGTACACCTGGTCTGCATATTCCCTTCTCTGTTCTGGCTCACTTGTCAGCCCATCAGTATTTGACATATGCTTAGTTGAGCTTTGAAAACCCCTATCTGTAGACTCTCTGTAGGCAAATAACTATGCAAAAAGAAACACTCATGACAGCGCAAAAAAAGCAAGACCCAGACTGACTGCAGTGTGTTTGTAATTGTGCAACTAGTTGCAAATCTTCCCAATCTGTCTGAGAAGAACTGCACTCCTTCCAAGATGGTTGACTGGTTGCCTCTCAGACCTTTGCTGTAAACTTGTCACGGCTCAGCAGCCCAAGATGAGAGATTCAACCAGAGACTCAGGAAGTGATGAAAAAATAACTTTATTTATGACGAGGTTCACAAGGTAAACAGAGCTAAGGCTATGAAGTGAGCAGGGACTATAAACATGAACTATGAGAGGCTACATGTGGTTTAGCCCAGGAAACAAACAGCCGATCCGTCCTCCTGAAAGCCTTTGTTCTCTCTATATAGGTACATAAAGTCCTAACTGGACAGAGAGTATGTAGCCACTCCTTTTCAGAGGAGGAGAAAGGAGGAGGGGAAAAAAGCTTCTAGTTCAAATGGGGTGCATTGGAGATAAGGATTTTTGGGCACAAAGGCCAGATTTGGCCAGAGTGTGACTCTAGAGTTATCCCGCGTGAATTGGGTGCACTGTTTGTATATTGACAGTGCATAAATATCGCTGACACACTTCGCAGATCTAGTGGCAACCGATTTATATGCCTTGTTAGCCAGGGAGGACTGCAGATGACCAGATGACAGGGAAAGTTTCTGGTTTGGGTGGAGATGAGAAGCCACCAGATTCTTCACTGTGGGAATTTGGTAGAGGCCCTTCTTCTATATTCCAGCGCAGTCAAACGCCGCCGCTTCCTGCACGGGGTTGGGTGACGAAAATGGCTTTGCCCAGCAGCATGTGACCTCGTCCACGCATTCGGAGAAAAGCGGCAGTACCTGCTTAGTAACAAGCACTTTGCTTTGGGGAGCCTTTTACCCTGGTATCGTGAGGTGGAGGTCTCCGTTGTCACCATGGTCCATGGGATTGCCAGCTTTTCAGCTGCTCGTTTTGCAATGTCAAATAGCTCCATGCTGCGGGACTGTGTCCCAGGGTTATCACAATCGGCCCCTTGTGTCGCAGAATTCCAAGCAGAGGGGGCAAAGAAAACGTCATCATCCTTGTCCGAAACGTGATGTTCCGACGCTCCCTCAGAGGATTCGCTGAGTAGCTCGTCATTAACCTCGAGGGAATCAGGCAGCTTCGCCTCAAGGCTTCGCAGCTGATCTCGGCATTGTCCACCAACAGGAGGACGATATCCATCTCGCCCCAGCTGGTGCCTGGTGTGGCTGACAGGCTAGCCTTCGACGAAGGCTTTTCAGGGTAAAGCCTTCGCACACCGGGTTCACATGAATCCGGTGTGGAAATAGCCGCATGGGTGTGTTTCAGCCCGAGGCCCATCACACAAGCATCATGTGTATCTGAAGCTGAAATTTTGTAACTGCATGGGCAAATTCTGGGCAGTGGTTTGCAGTCTGCCATATTAAGGAAGCTTGGTGTAGGTAGCTTGGAATGGCTGGACAGCTAATGCTGATTTTATTTTATTTTATTTTTTTAAATCGGTCAGTTAGCTATGGTGAGCTAGTATGACC